AAAAAAAGTCAAATAGACAGAGAAGTTCAAAATATAAGAGTAAATAATGACATATAGGTTTTTATCCCAAAAATATTATTGAGTATTTTACATTGCTGGAAAATGCTATTAAGCAACATCTTCGGTTGAGATGAAGTAATGATCCCCAAGACCTTGTATAATAAGAAAAAATTTGTATTGTAATTCTTAAGTATTTGTAAACATTTGGCTCATGAGCAAATGAGTAGTACATGGAAGGAACATTGATATTATATGTAGCCGGACGACATTCTTGAAAATTGCGCAGATCTACCATGTTATTGATGTCCTTTCATACACATTCATTTTTGCAGCTCAGAGCCTAAGCGAAAAAGAGCGGATAGCAAGCATCTAAAAGATATTTCAAGCATACTAGCAACACTTGATACCAAAAAATGTTTTGAAAAACCCAGCAAGAAAGGAGATGCGAGTAAAATTGAATTCTGGTGTAAATTTCATAATCTGAGGCGGAACAGTCTCTCAAAAACTTTAGTGGAACTTCAAAAGAAAGAAGAACTTACTCCAATCAATACTACTGCTTCCACCCGAATAAATACTTGTAGAGGATCCAGTTGGTGAAATTGCCGGTGGCGATTTCACCTTCTTTCGTGGTGGTCCACCTTCTTCTGGACCTAAAAGGCGATACGGTAATTTGTTATCGATCGATAATGCATCACATCTACACTCTGACACTGTACCATATTGGACCAGTAACAAGGACCATATCATCGAATTTCTGGTTAAAGTTCTTGTAAATCGTGATTTGGCTTATTGATCGATATTGATTTTTTGTCTGTACACTGATAAACGGATGTAAAACTGCGCCGTACGATCTCGGGTGTTTCTGCGCAAACAAAATTCAAGTGTTCCACGCGCGTGTGCCATAGACATTAGAAACAGCTAATCTACTTGTAGCGATCAATAAATCGATAAATAATTGACGAAGCCGTATGATATTGTGTAAGTAACTCGCTCACGGACGTGAGACATCACATTACAACACACATAGACATAGAGAGCTGATGAGCTTAACTCGCATTGGTAAATATCTTCAAAAAAGTATATAAGCTGACCAGCTCGGAGCTATAAGGTGAATCAATCGATAATCGATTGAAGAACCACACAAAACAGTCGCTACCAAAAAGTAGGCTCTTCCTTGAGCCAGAATATTCGCTGAATTCCGAACGCATATCGCTGAGATGCATTTCAATTTCCGATGTTGTAGTCTCAGTCTCTTGTTGCTCATGTTCAGCAGCTAAGAAAAGCACAAATCAATAAATCAATAACTCACACCATGATGGATCAACAAGTTCAAGTCCGCCTTCTTCTGTATCGGTCAGCTCAATAATAAATAAAGTTTTTAGCACCATTTTGGCGTGGGGAGAGCTAGTGCCTAGAAGCTAGCGCTCCAAAAAATAGGAGGGAAATGGGATAAAAGGGGAACTTCTCCCAGGTGTAGAAGTGGTGGATTAGGACTAGTTTGATATGTATTAGAGGCTTTTCGAGTACCAAGCCAAGGGTAAGGGGGTGGGGTATAATACTGGAGAGACGTGAGATGAGATCCGAGCCGAGAATCTGAGTCGATGTGCTGCCTCAATGCCAACTCATAGATAGGTAGACCGATGTGCCTACGTTCGCCAGCCGGGATTCGAGGCGCTCTGGCGGTGCTCAAGTGAGAGAGATCGAGCGAGCGATCGCAGCCAACGGTTGAGGTGAGAGCCGAAGAGA